CAATATGTTTTTTATCATAGATATATTTTATGAGTGACCAATGGCACTGTTTCTAATTATAGGTATATATACTTGGAGAATTTATGTACATTTAACATTTAAAAACAGCAACAATTAGCATCACAGCTACACAGGTGTCATACATATGTTAATTTAAATTTTTATCTTTGGAGTAGGATTTAGACTCTTTGAACAGATAACAGGTGTGCAAAACTAACCAAAATCAAAGTTTTTAGTCCTCTTACAAGTTTAGGGAGACAGTGTTAGTGCCCATAAATAGACTTATTGTTTATTGAAAAAGTGATGGTCACTTTGTATTAAACTTAATAGCATTTAAATGAAGTTCAGACATACAGCCTACACATTTTTAGGGTATCCTATTAAAATCACTGAAAATACAAATACTTAAATGAACTGATTTAGTTCAGACTGTTTCCTAAATAGTCAAAAGCCCAATAAAGTCAGCAAAAGACAAGCAATTACTTACCTTGAAAAAACAAAACCTTTCCTATAAGCCAGTTTTTAGCAATTACTAAGAGCATAATGTTTTTTAAGACAAGAAATTAGGTGTTAACTTTATAACAACTTATATTTTGACTTTAGGAAATCCTTTAGATAATTCTTAGATTATAATCAATCACACACAAATTTTTATAAACTCCATCCATTGTACACTTTTAAGACTTACTCAGGACCTTCATACAATGTTTTAAACCTTCTGATGGTTTGTCCTTATCCCTCTGTTTTATTTTTGAAACAATCCTTCAAGACAACACTTTTTACAAAATCCTTTCTTATCCAAAAGCACTTTCTTTTTCCCTTTCACATTTTCCTATTAGATACTTTAAGTGGGAACAAAGTCATAGGCTTCCCTCCACCAGCAGAGGGTATAGTCTGTCTCTTTGAAACTGAATTTTTGTTACCCATCCTTAACCACAGCTGTGTGTTTCCTCAGGAAAAAGTTTGAACTCTTGTTGGAAGTTTTTTTGTATTTTACTTGTATCCCTGGGAGAATATTCAACCCACCATACTGGTAGTTTCTTATATTCTACCCAAAGCACTTTCTCCATCTTGGGAGTCACCACTTGTTTCGTGTCTGAGAAAAGTCCCAGTCACACCCACACAGCCTCTGGGATGTCCTGACCACCAAAGTAGTACTTGACTTCCCACCTTGGCCAGTGCACAAGTTACCTGGTACTCCTTGATGCTTATTTGAGCTCCTTTCCTCACATTGCCAATGAGCTTTCAGTTTTTGGATCCATCATAGCCACAGAAATTGCAGATTCGCCCCCACCCCAAGGCCACCACAACAAGGCCATGGGACTTGTCACCTCTAATGAAGGGGTCTGCATGACACTCCTGAGTGACAATAAGAGATCCCTGCATGGGCCCCCCAAATTGTTATAAATATCAGGTGCTACTGTGATCATAAATCAAACACATGCTCAAAAGCTGATGGGCAAGGCAAAATTAACTTCTGCAGAAGGGTGTGCCTTCAACCAGAGTTAAGCAAGCACACACACTGGGGCAGAAGGACAGCCTCGGTTTTTATCCCTAATGCAGGACTGCCCCTTGCCCTAGTGCAGGAACTTGGGTCACAGTCTTTGTGACTGGCTACGGTTGAGGTTAAGGGGAGGGCATAGGGGAAGAGCAGACATGATTGGAAAGCCTGGACATGAAACTTAATTTGGTTGGTGGATTCAAAGACAAAGGGGTGACCCATGTAGCAGGAATTCAATGATTCTGGGAGAACTGAAGCCTGAAATGACTGCTTCACCTGAAATGGCAGCACCAAGTATATAATTAACCCATGTGTCAAGAGAACCTTTGGAGAATGGCAATCTTAAAACTAGCCATTTGTGTTTTAGTACATCCGATGACAAACAATTCCCTGCTTAAAGGCAGAAACTTGAGAGTTAGGCAAAGTGCCACAGAGCACATAGGCAACTGGAGAAATTAGTTAATATCCACACAATGATAGACATATTCTGTAGTGTGGTACTAGATGGGTGAGGGAAAGGGGCTCAAAACCCATGACCCTGAGATTAAGAGTCTCATGCTGCACTGACTGAGCTAGCCCTCTGACAAAAAAGAACCAACTTAGTTGACTCTCATAGTTTGAAATTCTTTTTCTGATATATATAAAATTTAAAAATTACTTTTCAAGTGCCATATACTTTTAAATTTATTTAATCAACATTAATTCCTATTAATGTATAAAATATATTTCCTCTTAATTTTAGATTTCTTATAAAAGGTTTTAGTCTTTTCAACTTATGTGTGTTTCTTTCTAGACATTTAAATGTTGATATGATGAACAGAACCTTCTTTCTTTTTTTATAGTTTGTGGTGGTACTGGGTCTCAACCAGTATGCAAAGTATGCAAAGTATATGGATTTTCAACTTGATGAATCAATGGGTATTTTTATAGAATAAACACGTGTTATAAGTACCTCTTTTTTCTTTTTTCACTTATTTCATTTTTGAATAAGAGTAAGTTATCATGTGTTAAAGTTTAAAGGTACAATGAAAAACTTCCCTTTCATCCTTGTCAGCCAACCTCTCCATTCTCTTTCCCTAAGTCTGCATACTATTTTCATCTACAGGTAAATACCAAAATCAAGAGAACTAGATTTCTGTCCTCTTTGTAGTAAGGCATTAAACATGTCACATAACTTATTAGAGAGAGGAGACAACTTTTAACTGGTGTTCTGTATTTCCTCACAACTTTTTCAAAACTATCTAACACGAAGCTGACAGATTAAAATTTCAACTTCTTAAATAACATCATTACCTTACAAAAAATGCTCCCATGATCTTAGTTTTATTCTGACAGACATGGATATACTTTGGCCATGATCACAACTAGACTTTCCTCCTGGCTTCTCTCTCAGCTTGCTCTAATCTGCACTTGCTCCAGCAAGCAATCTCCTCCCTGCATCTCTCCTTCCATTTTTTCTTTCTTTCTCCCCTTCTTCTCTATCACTCCTTCTATCTTACACATAATATCTAAAATTCAATTTAGAAACATCTGTGAATCACTGTAGAGGATTTTTGCCATTATTTTGACTCTCAGCATCAGGACCCATTTTCTGTAGGAACAACAAGTTTTGAGCCATCACTGTCAGCACTGTTCTAAATGGCATGTCATCATCTTGTTATTAACTTTCCACAACTCTGAAAATGTGGTATTATTGTCATACAGAGGAAACAAGTAGCTGCTGAATGGGTGGGTCTCGGCTTAACCTGGGTGGCCTGACTGTGAAGCTTGTTCTCAGCCTGTGCCACTGCCACAGAAACTGAAAATCCAGACACTCATTGTTATGTTGTCACATTTCTACACACCATATGCTGAAGTCCTAATTCCTGTACCTCACTGTGGCTGCCCTTGAAGACAGGGCCTTCAAATGTGGTCCTTAGAGTGGCACTAATTCAGGGTGGCTTGTGTCCATGTAAGAAGAGGTTCTGACAGATAAGACAGATGGAAGGATAGTCAGTGAGGACACACTGAGAAGGTGGCTATCTAGAAGATGCACTGAAAAGGGGGCCATCTAGAAGCCAAGTCTCAGGAGAAGCTGAAGTTGCTTGTATCTTGATTTTTAACTTCTGGCCTAAATAATTGTAAAGATACAAACTTTTGCTCTTTAAGTCACCCTGTCTGTGGTATTTTGTTATGGAAGCCCAAGCAAATTAATACTTCACATATCTAGCCTTGTGGACAGACAGATGTAGACACATGGCTGGGACCCAGACAGTAAGATGCAATGTTCCCAAACTTTGATGTTACTTACACAATAAAGGAAAGATTAAGAGTTCCCTCTGGGGCGGCTGAATTGCACAGGATAGACATGGCAGGGCAGCAGGACAGCAGAACCGCAGCTGCAAATGTACATTGTCCTGCGTGACAACCTCTCAGGCACCACTTGCAGGGCTAGAGCTCAGGAGAGGTCCAGTGGTCCTCAGAGGAGGTTCTGTACTGTTCCTGACTTGGTCATGTTTGAGTCCAGCTGTCTGACCTGTCAGGGAATCCAAGTCAAACCCAGTACTGATTAATGTTTTCTTTTCTACTTAATCCAATCAGCCAGTTTCTACTGTTCAGCAATAAAAATTTTAAGTTACATAGAATATCATTCCAGCATTAAGAAAAAAATAATTTTTAGTAAAACAAAAACCACATATACATTTTCAGAGGTTGTAGTAACCACAGGAATCCTAATACATCTTCTTAAAAGTCTTCTGTAAACACTGGGCTCCAGCATTCCTTCTTAACTGACTTCTTGCCTGAATTAAACTGTGTCTGTCCTTACTCTGAGCCAGAAAGAGAGTTAATAAAAGCAGAGATTGGAAGCATTGTCATTTCTTGTGAATCAGCTCTACATACTCTTCCTCTTTCAAGAGCACATTCTACTAGTAAAAGTGATATGGCCACCAATAGAGGACAGTCCTGCCTTCTCCTCAGTCAGACTGAGATTTGAATCCATGTCAGTGTATGCGTGTGTGTGTATATGTGTGTACTGCATGTGTATTCAAAACAAAAAAAAAATGAGCTTGCTTCTGACTGGCTAGGTAGAAAACCAAGACTCTATGGGGGCGTAGAACTAGATACATTCTCAGTAACAGGCACTAACACACACAGAGGAGTCTGGCTCAATTTCAGGGTCCAGAGCTGCATCTCCTATTATTCCAAGGAAGAAGAATGGAGAAGCTCTTGGCAGTGGCCTTTGTGACTCTGTGGCTTCTACTGGCTGGTGAGTTGGGGCTGTTGGTGATGAGAACAGGGATAGGAAAGTTCAGAGGCTACATGACCGAGAGGTGAAGTTTTCTTGTTAATTAGAAATATAGTTAGAAAATACAGTGACTGACTCCTGGTCTCTGGCCTATGTTTCTGTCCAGGGGTGAGCAGCCAAGAAGGAGAAGAAAACATTCAGGTCCTGACCATCCAAAAGGGTGAAAATGCCACCATAAGCTGCAGTTACAAAAGTTAATTTTATACCCTGCAGTGGTACAGACAGGATTCAGGCAGAGGTCCTATCCTGCTAATTTTAATAAGTCAAATGACAAAGAGAAAATCAGTGAAAGGTTAAGAGTCACCCTTGACCCTTCCGTCAAAAGCAGCAACCTGTCCATCATGGCTTCCCGGGCTGCAGATGCTGCTATTTACTTCTGTGCCACAGATGCAGTGTTCAGCAGGCACCTGCAGCCCCAGCACAAACCTTGCCAGAGCTGCTTCCTAGAGGCCTAACTGTGAGAGGAGGGGTAGATTTATGTTCCCATGAAGCAAATCCACTGATAGTGGGAAAGGGAAGTCCTCTCAAATCCAAGATTGTTTTAATCATCTTCGACTAGGCAAAGGGCCTGGAATTTGGAATGGGAAACTGAAATGCCAGGCTCAGACTTGCCCATCCTGGCTATGTGTCCTCCAGCTGTCATCAGTATAGCAACCTTTGATGCCCTTACTTGACATGAAGCACTTGGATTGCTGAGCCTAGTGGGTCCTTCATGCTCTGATTTCATCAGGGAAAGTAAGGCCTGGGCACTTGTGGAGGCTGAGGATAGACTGCCCAGTACTGGAAGGTCTCACTTGTCCTATGTGCAGCCCAAGGCTATGGTGGGACATTGAGAAGCTGATGCCAATCCTACAATCCCCTAGTCCAGCAGCAGTGCACTTATCAGGCCCTACAGTGAGCAGGGAGCCCAGGACACCTTCAGCTGAGTCTTTCATGTCACAGCTGAGGAGTGGAGTCAGTAAAAAGAGAGGCAAAATCATAACCTCAGAGTAATGCAGACCAGATCTGAATCCGATCCTTCCAGTTAAGAGTTGTGTGATTCCCATCCTAGCTACTCAGGAGACAGAAATTGGGAGGATCTCAGTTCAAGACAAGCCCAGGCAAAAACATTCACAAGAACCTATCTCAACCAATGGCTGGGCACAGTGGTGTGCATCTGTGATCCCAGCTACATGGAGAAGCATAAATAGGAGGATTGTCACCCAGGCTGGCCTTGAGCATAAAGTGAGACTCTATCTCAAATGTAACCAAAGCAAAAAGGACTGGCAGAATGGCTCAAGTGGTAGAGCACTTGCTTAGCAAGCATAAGGCCTGAGTTCAACCCCAATGACAGCAAAAAAAAAAAAAAAAAAGGAATTGTGTGATTTTCAAGCAGCATTGCCTTCATTTGAAAAATGGAAATGTATAAAAAACTTGTAATTTTTCCCATCCACGTGTGGGATGCGTGTTCTCAACTACCAAGTCCTAAAATGCCATTCTTTGAAAGAAGGCACTACTAGGATCAAATATATCCATTTTATTCTTGTTCTTATTATGATAAGTAAATGCTAACTATAGATTTGACACCACTGAGAATGTGTAGAGGAAATCAGAGCCTCTGTATTTGTGTGCATGCTTGGTGAGAAGTAAGTAGGAGAGCAGGAGAGGTGCGGTGTAGGACAGTGGTTCTGAAATGCCACACCTTGGCCCATAAGCATCCTTGTATCAGTCACCATTCATGATCTGGACTACTTGGCTCACTGCTGGCTTGCCTGATTCGTCTCTGATGAAGTAATTGTTAGACTGAAAAGGCACAGAGATAGATGAGGAGAAGGCCAACCATCAGCAAAGGTTTATTCAAAAGAAACCTTTGGAGGTTGCCTCCAACAGATGCTAGAACCCGCTGCCAGTTACAGATTGGGGGATTTATAGGAAAGAAAGGACCTGATAAAGGGTGGGGGAAATTTTTTTCAATGTGGCATGTCCATTGTCCCTTGCTAAGGATAGTCAAGTAATTGGGTCTTGTGTTCTGGCACAGGTGCTGGGAAACAAGATGTTTCCCTTGGTAGCCCCGTCTCTACAGGAGCCATACAACACTAGGGTACAACAGAGTTTAAATGGCTTAAGTGATGCCAAGTTGAGGCCTAACAGAAATGAACTTGTATTATTTTCAGTACTCAAGGCCTTGGGATTGCTAGGCAGTGCTCTACCATTTAAGCCATACTCATATCCCTTTTTTGCTTTAGTTTTTTTCAGGTAGAGTCTTGTGCTTTTTGTTTGGGCCAAACTCTGACTGAGCTCCTTCTAACTCCAACTCCCAAGTAGTTAGGATTAAAGATATGTACCACCACACCAAGACTGTTTTTTGAAATAAGGTCTCCCTAACTTGCCCAAACTGGCCTTGAACCACTATCCTACCCTATGCCATTTTTGTAGCTGGGATTTAAGGGGTGTGCCAGCATGCCTGGCCTGAATTTATATTTTAAATAAACATCATTTGTATTAGTTAGAGATTGGCTGAGCTTTATGCTACAGAAAACTCAAACAATTTTTAACAAATTTATTTTTCTCTCAGATAAAGGAGCACTATAGTAAGCAGGGCTAGCACAATAGGTGGCTTTTTCATGCTATGAGAGATCCAGGATCTTTCTGCTTAACATTTCTCATCCCTCAAGTATCACTTGTGTTTTTATATTCCCAAGAAACTTCTAGAGGCCCTCCTATGTTATATATAGAAAGGAGTCATGGGGTGCTGGACACCACTGGCTGAGTCAATCCTTTCCCAAATCTTCATCCAAATCCTCCTCTTACATTCCATTAACCAGAATTACCTGACTTCCACATCCATCTCTCTTCTGAAAGGGAGATGGGACATTAGATTATTCACTGACTGTGTTGCCACCCACATCAAAATGAGGCTTTACTGATAAGAAGTAGGAGTAAACAAACAGTTAGCTAACTACATTTTCTGCCACATCCTTGGTTTAGGACTTATTAGGACTCTTGTGATTTTTCTGAATCATAGTTACCTGTCTTTTAATAACTATATTTAATTTATCCCCCATTTCTGTTGAATTTGCCTTGTAAAATCTTCCAAATATATCACAACCTGATTTCCCTTCACACCGTAACTAAAAACCCGCCCAAATCTCTTGCACCCCCCAGCACTCTTGACTCATCCATCACTCTATTTTAGACCTCTGACCTATAGCAAGAGTGACCTTGACAGAATGCAAGTTCTGCATTACCAAACACCTAGATCCCCATTTGCTCTTAAGACAGAGGAATGCTCCCTGTGATCTACTAATCCTTGCACAATTTAGGCTCTTGTCATCTCTCTCTAACCTCACCCAGGGTATGCTAACTGTCTTTCTCTGCCTCTCTCTCCCTCCTTCACTCTCTCTTTCAACTGATGTTATTTAAATTTCTTTAAGGCACTTGCTTCTCTTTTATGTCCCCCTCGTAGCAATTTTAGGGTATTTTTTAACCTCTTTTTAAAATATTTTTAATTTTTTCTCTCCCCTTAAAAAAATACAAACTATGAAATGACTACTTGTTCTTGGGCATCTGGTCAAGAATATCGGTGAACTTCCTGAGAATCATGAACCCCTCTTTTCAAGTGTCAGTCTCTCCTTTGTTTCTTTGAGTGTTTGAATGAAAGCAATGATGCTTACTACTGCTCTTTGTGCTCATTAATGTCAGGAATCCTTATTGCACTGCCCACCTATGAATCCTCAGCACCAAGTACATCAAGAAAAGGCTCACCAACCCTTGTTGGTGAAATCCATTAAATTATTTAGTGTTATGCCTTCATTTTAAGTATCCTCATGATATTTGTGATAAAGTTACAGTGGTAGTGCTGTGGAATAGGCAGCTAAAATGGGAACAATAACACACAGGAGCCATAGGGCAGGTGAAGCACTTACAGATTTCTGCAAAATATCATACTCTGCCGCTGTCCTAGAGGAATAGTCCACCAGTTGAAGGCAACTTCTTGATACAGTGGCCAATGTTTGCCAACAATGATCCTAACAGAAACTTTATCAACCCTAGAGGTTATCAGAACATCATATACATCTCAGTATGTATGCACCTATCCTAAAATCATCATCTTGGCTTTGAGGACTACTATTAGATAAACCACTCCCCATTCCCTGGCTCTTGAAATTATTCTCCCGTTTCTCAGAGTACTTCACAGTTATGTACATTTCTGTGGCATAATCATTAAATCCTACCCATAAAAGTGCCTAAGACCTCAGGGCTCGGGCACTTGACTGCTTGGTCAAGATCCACACTCTCAGTCTCCTTTAAATTGCTTTGCATTTACTTCTGTTTCAGTAAAATCTAGCTTTGGCTTATGTAAATCTTGCTGTTTTCAAAACTCCTCTGTTCATCTGCTCCTGAATTCTTTCTTCAGCAAGACCAAGAACCTGCCATTCATCTCCCCAAACAGAAAAAAAAATGAAAATAGGGCTCACAGAGTTTCTCAGACTTCACTGTGTAAATCTTTGAAAGTACATGGGTAAATTTGGGGGAAAAGAAGGGGTCCTCAACTCCAGAGGTCAAACAGAAGAGTGTACCTTCTGTTTTTAATAAGCTTTTACTGGCAAGCAGGCACATTCATTCATTTATACATTGACCATGACTGTGTTTGTAAAACACAGAGTTGAGTACTGGAATTAGAAACTGTGTGACTTTGAAGTCTAAAATATTAACTATTTGGTTCTCTATAGAAAAATGTTTTCCAAACATGGGGTATTTTTAGTTTTTGTTAGATAACAAAATTAATAAAAACATTTTTAGTTTCATAAAATTTATTTTAATCAATAGATATTAATTGTATGCATTGATGGGATTCTGTAAGATAATTGCACACATGCACACAGTGTGCACTGATCAAATCATACCATTTTCCTGCACCACCCCCATACTCTTCCCAGTCCCTAACAGTCATTAAGTTACTTTTAAGTCAACTTTTAAAACTTCCTTTCAGGGTGGGAAAATATGTAATACTTTTTTTTCTTGTCTGACATAAGTGACTTAAAAAATATCTTCCAGTTTCATCTGTTTTGCCACAAATGATAAGATTTCATTCTTCTGTATGACTGAATAATACATATCTCACTGTGTGTATTTACCACGTGCTGTTCATTTATTCATCTGTTGATGGGCACATCATTTGACTCCATACCTTAGCTTTTGTGAATAGTGCTCCATTAACAAGAATGCACTGGTATCTCTTTGTATGCTCATTTCATTGTCTTTGGATATACACCAGAAGTAAGAATGGCTGGATAATATATATGGCAATACTATTTTCAGTTTTTTGAGGAACCTCCATACTGTTCCCCCAATGGCCCTACTAATTCTTATTCCCACCATCAGGAAATAAGAATTCTTTTTGTGCACATTCTTGCAAGTTTTTTTTTAAGCCATTCTAACTGTGGTGAGACGGTATCTCAATGTAGTTTGATTT